TTGGGGGCGGCCCCAGCAAGAAGGACCTGCAGGAGACCATCGAGGTGCAGAAGAAGCAGCTGCTGCAGTACCAGGGGCGCCTGAAGGACGTGGTGCGGGCCTACAAGAGCCTCCTCAAGGAGAAGGAGGCGCTGGAGGCCAGCTTGAAGGTCCTGTCGGTCTCCCACGAGGTGGACGCCGGGCTGGGCAGCGGCGTGGCCCAGCCCCCGGGGGTGGCCGGTTCCTCCAGCCCGGACCTGAGTGAGGACCAGAGCTCGGTCCACAGCGAGGACAGTCATGGGACGGCTGCCAGCCTGGCCAGCGTGAGGGGGGACCTAGTGGGCATGGAAGAGGGGACGGTGGCAGTGGAGACCGCAGTCTCTCCCTCGAAGCTAGAGGAGACCAGCAGCTCCGAAAGCAGCGGCGTGAGCTCTGGCAGCGGGGAGCTGATTGTGGGGGGCGCTGGCGAGTCGGACAGGAGAGTCCTGCAGCTGAAGACGCAGCTGTCCACGCTGACCAGCGCCCTGGCCACCGTCACGCAGGAGAAGTCTCGGATGGAGGCCTCCTACCAGGCCGACAAGAAGAAGGCCAAGCACGAAATGGAGAGCGCCAGCCGCAGAGCCGAGGAGGAGAGGAGCCGGCTGGAGGCCGAGGTCAAGGAGGCGCAGGAGCAGCTGGCCGAGGTCAAGGCCCGCCTCATCGCGCAGCAGCACGACCGGGCGCAGGAGCAGGGCGACCACGCCGTCATGCTGCGGGAGCTGCAGCGCCTGCTCCAGAGCGAGCGCGCCCTGCGCCAGGAGGCGGAGCTGGGCCTGGAGGAGGCCCGCGAGGCCTTGGCCGGGAAGGCGGGCGTGGCAGACCGGGCAGAGGGGGCCGAGCACCAGGCCCGGCAGCTGGGCCGCGAGGTGGAGGAGCTGAGGCGGGAGCTCAGGGCCCTGCGGGAGGAGAGCGCCCGGCCGGACCCGCAGGTCCAGGAGCTGCAGGCCGAGGCGGCCAGCCTGAGGAGCCACTTCCAGGCGCAGCTGCTGCAGGAGATGCGGAAGGTGAGAACAGGGCAGGGAGCGGAAGGGGCCCTCTCTCCCAAGGGGGTGGGTTTGCCTTCCTTGGGGGGGGCCACTGTGATTCCTGCACTGCAGGGGTTCGGACTACTGTATTTTTTCAATCCATAAGAAGCATCCGACCATAAGACGCACCTAGTTTTCAGAGGAGGAAAACAGGGAAAAAATATTCTGAATCAAATGTTGTACCAAACTATTTAATAAACTACTAGTATGTCAGAGTGAGACTGAGAAGGACAGAAGCTGTATGGTTGTTTAGTGTGCACTCTCAAGGAGCCAGCGGATCAGCTGAGATGTGAGGGGATTTGTGTAATTTACCCCTCTCCCTCATCCCCTGCCCTCCCGTCCCCAGCAGCCTTCCTGTTTTACCTCCTGGTTTTCACTGCACTTGTGGCTCAGAGCTCAAGGTTGGGTTTGTTTTTGCTGCTGGTTGCTTAAATGTTATCCTTCCCGATCCAACCCCTCCTGTGCCCTGCCGTCCCTCTGCAGCCTCATTGCTCTGTTTAGGGAGCGCGCGGACCTTTGCTAGCTGAGGCTGCTGCAGCTGTTGCTGGCTGCGCACCGCTTTTAAAAGCGCCTGCTGGCTTTGAATTGCCTGCCTCTTCCCAGCTCACTGTAAAGCAAGCAAAGCGAGAGCCTCGTAGAGCATGTAAGCAGCTCTCACTTTGCTTACTTTCAGAGAGCGACAGGCGGGAGCTATGGCTGTACAGCGAGCAGAGATAGAGCTGCGCAAAGCCAGGCAGAAGCCCTGTAAGGGGATCCTGCTTTGCTTGACTGACGGGAGCCATGGCTCCGGCCCAGTGCATTCGCTCCAGAAGACGCACAGGCATTTCCCCTTTCTTTTTGGAAGGAAAAAAGTGTGTCTTATGGAGCGAAAAATACGGTAGATGACTCGGGGAGTCCCTTCCAGCTCTGCAAGTCTGTGATTCCCTCCTGAGCGGGAGCCCCAAAGCAGACACAGACCTTTACCTACATGGTCCCTTGACTTCTCCAGCTCACCCCCTGGGGTCACTCTTACTGGCCCCCTCCATGGAGGTGTTTGCTGAGGCCTGTGGACGTCATGCCAGCATGGAGCCTTTGGGGGGAAGAGCAGCCTGGTGGCCTCCAGATCTTTTGGGCAGCAGCTCCCATCCTCTGTGAGGGCAGCAGGTTGGCCCAGGCTGGTGGCATGACTCCCTGGCAGAGCCAAGCGATGCTTCTTCCCCACCTCCTCGCCAGGCTGGAGATCATCTCAGGCAGGCAGAGAAAGCCTTTGATAGTGTTTCTTGGTCATTCCTGATTAAGGTAATTGAGAAAATGGAAATAGGTAATTGTGGGACGCGGGTGGCACTGTGGGTTAAACCACAGAGCCTAGGCCTTGCTGATCAGAAGGTCGGCAGTTCAAATCCCCGCAACGGGGTGAGCTCCCGTTCCTCGGTCCCTGCTTCTGCCAACCTAGCAGTTCAAAAGCACGTCAAAGTGCAAGTAGATAAATAGGTACCGCTCCGGCAGGAAGGTAAACGGCGCTTCCGTGCGCTGCTCTGGTTGTGCCAGAAGCGGCTTAGTCATGCTGGCCACATGACCCGGAAAAACTGTACACCAGCTCCCTTGGCCTATACAGCAAGGTGAGCACCGCAACCCCAGAGTCAGCCACGACTGGACCTAATGGTCAAGGGTCCCTTTACCTTTTTATACTAATCAATCCACAGACATTTTTTAAAAAAATATTTTTTTCGGACAAATGCCAAATCGAAAAACGAGACAAGGTTGTCCCTTATCTCCATTGTTGTTTATTATGACGTTAGAAACAGTGCTTCAGACTATAAGGTGAAATAGGGAACTTAAAGATATTGAAGTGAGACGCAGAGTCTATAAACTAAGGGTGTTTGCTGATGGTGTGGTGTTGACATTGGAGCAACCTTTGGAGAGCGTTCCGAAAGCGTGAGAAGAAATCAAAAGGTTTGGAGACGTGGCAGGTTTTAAAATAAAACCAGGCTGGGTGGGTTCCCTCTGGCCTCATCCAGCAGCCTCCTCTCATGCCCTTCTGTTTCTCCTCCCCCCCGCAGACGGCTCAAGCGGAGGATCGGATCCAGCTGGAGGAGCAGCGGGTGGCCAGCTTGGAGGCCCAGATCTCGGAGGTCTCTGAGCTCCTGGGCAGCTACGAGAAAGCCAAGCAGAAGGAGCAGCTGGCCACCCAGAAGCTGAAGGAGCGCATCGCCCAGCTGGACCTGGAGAACAAGACCCTGGCCATGGCTGCCTCCGGCCGCTCCCCGCTGGACCTCGCGGCCTTCGAGGAGAGCAGCCTGGACGTCAACGTCCTGAAGGACCGCATGGAGAAGCTGAAGGAGATGCTGCAGGAGGCCACCAAGGACAGCCCGGCGTCCGCCCAGGAGATCGAAGCCTTCTGCAGGCTGGAGCCCCCCAAGGGCGGCACGGAGACGGGGGACGGCGAGAAGGCCACCGCGGCCTACTACCAGCAGGAGCTGAAGCAGCTGAAGGAGGAGTTTGAGAGGTACAAGCAGAGGGCCCAGGTGGTCCTCAAGAACAAGTCGGCCAAGGACGGGAGCTTGGCCAAGGAGCTGGAGGCGGCGCAGGAGCAGCTGGCCGAGCTGAAGGAAAAGCACGTCTCCCTGCGGCTCTCCTGCGAGGAGGGCGCCCGGCAGCGTCGCCAGGAGGCGGAGGCCTGGCGCCAGGAGGCGGCCCGCCTGCAGCAGCAGCACAGGCAGGAGCTGGAGCGGAGCCAGCTGGGCTTCCAGGAGAAGGTCCTGCGCCTGGAGGAGGAGATGCACAAGCAGCGCGACCGGGCGCTGGCCGTCCTGGCCGAGAAGGACCAGGAGCTGGAGCAGCTGAGGGCCCTGGTGCTGCCGTACTATGGGCTCCAGGGGCCCAAGCAGGGCCCGGCCCAAGCGGGAGGGCCCCAGAGCGGGGACCCCAAGGGGGACGAGGGCGACGTCTCCCTGGAGACCCTGACACAGGCCCTGCACCTGGCGGCGCCCAAGGAGCCGGCCTTCCTGCTGTACACGGAGCAGCTGGCCAGGAAGGAGGTGGAGGCCTCAGCCCTGAAGAAGCAGAAGCGCAGCCTGGAGGCGGCCCTGCGGCAGCTGCAGGAAAGGCTCCTGGAGGAGGCCGAGCGGCACCGGGAGGAGGTCTCAGGCCTGCAGGGCCGCCTGCAGAAGAGCGCCCGGGACCAGGGCAGGGAGGGCGCCAACCTGGAGTACCTCAAGAACATTTTCTACCGCTTCCTGACGCTGACGGACCTTCTGGGGCGGCAGCAGACGCTGAGGGCCATCTTGACTATCTTGCATTTCAGCCCCGAGGAGAAGCAGGCCGTGCTCAGCCAGGCGGGGGGCGCAGGCAGCTGGTGGCCTTCGGGGAAGAGGTGAGCCCCCTGGGCTGCCGTGGGGCCGGCTGCTCTGCCCAGAGGGTGCCCCTGTGCCAAGGAGGGAGCGGGTCTGGCAGTTCCTCTTCCCGCAGCTGTGGGCTCTGAGCGCCTTTCTGCTGCCAGGATCCGCCCAAGAGCCATTTCTTAGAAGGGACCATGATCTGGGAGACGGGGGGATTTTGAATCAAGTGGGGGTTTTTTGGGGGGGTGTCTTCTTTTGCCAAATGGAGGAATTATTGCAGGCTGCGTTTGGGGTTTTCTTCTTCCTGCCTCTCAAGCTTCGACTTGGTTTGTGATCTGCAAATAAAAAGGACCAGCAAGCAGAGACTGTGCTGTGGGCAAATGCCTCTTGGTCTTTTGGGGCAGGATGCGGCACGTGGGGCACCCAGGGGTGGAGCTGGGGGGGGGCAGAAGAAGAGGGCCCCCCTCCAGGGTGAAAGGGCTTCTTCGACTTGTGAGGTGGCTCCTTGGGAGCTGGGTGAACTCGGGGAGAGGAGGCCAGCCACTCCACATCATGGGGGGGGGGGGCATGTGGCTCTGCTGACCAGGCTGGCCCCCATCGCAGGAGGGTGGGGGGCAGAGCACCCTGTGGATTTGCCTGGTGAGGGCTCAGCACTCTGCATCCCCAGCTGGAGATGGCCGGGGTGTGTGTGTGTCAGGGCCTGGGAAGAGCTCCCTGCCTGAGGTCCTGGGCCAGAGGGGCAGAGAGCTGGGCAATGTCCCGGGATCTGAATCTCACGCTGAACCCTCCAGGGTTTAGGCAGTGGAAGCTGCCATTCCTGCATTGCAGGGGGTTGGGCTAGATGACCACACGGGTCCCTTTCTAAAGTTCTATGAATCTGTGAGCATCTTGCGGGGGACAAGCTCCAGTGGCCGTACTCTGGCTGAACGCCCAGCCCTGGGATTGGGAAGGCCCCGTTGTGGGTGCCACCCCATAGCCAGGCCTGCTGCTCTGTGGGTCCAGGGTGGGGGGGCCTCACTCTGCTGCCTGACGCTGGTGGCCTGGCTTTGCCAAGCAGGGCAGAAATGGAAAGGAAACATTTGCCAGCTCTTGGATTCGCAATGAAGGTGAAGGAAAACACACATCAGCCACTTGAGGACGGTTTTGAAATGCGCTTGGTCCCTGTGGCACTTTTTATTTTGCAAAACAGCTGTGATTCCTGCACTTCAGGGGCTGGGCTACATGAGCCCTGGGGTCCTTTCCGACTCTTGTGATTCTGCAATCCCCCGTAACCGTCCAGCTGCTGCGAGGGGTAAAGTGCCTTCATGGGTCTCTGCTCATCCTGCATGAAGCCTCTCCCTGACTTCAGGCCCAGGTTTTTCTGCAGCGCTCAGGGCATCTGTGGAACTCCCTGCTACCAGGTGCCCAGAAGCTCAGCAGCGTTATCTGGCTTCCAGAAAGGCAAGGCCTCCCTCCTGCCCCCCAAGTAGCAGCTGCCTCAGAGGCTCCTCATCCCCGCAGCAAGAGCTGCCCCCATACACACATTCACATGGCTAAAGGGGCCTCTTTCTATGGGGCCACGTGGGAACTGTGTGGTTGGGCTGGAGCCCAGGAGACCCTTGTCCTTCACCCCTCTGCAGGCCCCTGGCTGACGTCCTGCATTCCTTTGGGGAAACTGAGGACCACCCTGGCCATTGGCCAGCCTGCTGTGATGCCACAAGGTGTTCCTCTATGCAGGGACCTGGGAAGGTTGTGGGGTGCCCACAGATCTGCAGCAGGAAAGGAGAAGAGGGGGGAGCCCAGGGATTGCTGGCCTGCTCCCCGCTTGGAGACAGCGAGCAGGGGTGGCTGGGCAGGGGGCTAAGCAGGACCCCTCTCCCTTGGCAGGCTGGCCAGGCAGCTACTGGCGCGCGAAAAAGTATTATGTGGGTGGGCAGGCAATTTGTTGCACAGGGCCTCCTCCCCGGAAGACCTGAAGGGGTAGCAGTCCAGCAGGGCAGGGAGGCGGTTGCGGGGCTTAGCAAGACGTGCCAAGCAAGGCTTTCAATCTCTGGGTGACCTTTTTCCCTTCCTGAAACCCTCCCCTGCTTCAGGTTTGGTCTGAAGCAGTCTGTGCCTGATTGCTCTCAAAGGGAAACCGAGGCAGGGCTGCTAGCCGGGGGAGAGCTGCCTGCTGCTCTTTCTCCCCACAAGATGGTGACAGTGGGGGGGGGTCTTTGGTGGCCCCAGGGGGCACTGCAGCTCTGCCCTGGCAGGAAGAGGGGCGGCTGGCGCAGCCTTAACTCTGCTGCTGCTTTTGGGGCGCAGGGAAATTGCCAACCTCCTCCGACTCCTCCCTCTCCTCTGCTTGGGCATGAAGTGGCGCAGCTCCTACCTGGCGGCTGCTTCTTCCTGCTCCTGAGCCCAAGGAAAACACCTTGTGCAAACAAAGTCAGCTGAGCGGCTGGTGGGGAATTTCCCTGGGCAGCGGAGCCCACAGGGAGGGCAGGCGGTGCTCTGTGGCCCCTCCAGCCGTAGCCCCACCATGGCCGAGAGAGGCAGGAGTGGAGCTGCCCTTCCGGACGAAGAGGTACCCCCCTTTTCAACCCCCACCCACCCCGGGCAACTCTCCTGTTCCTCCGCCCAACCTTGGCTTGGGAGGAATCCGCCTGGCGTGCCTTAGCCTGCCTGGCTCCGGCTGGGAAAGGCAGCCCCATAGCCTGGGGGCAAGGTGGGTCCTCTAGCAGGTGGGCCCAGAGGTGTCCAGTGGAGATGGGGGGGCATACCTGGTTTAGCCACTGTGGTGTCTCCCTGCTGGGGAAAATGAAATCTGCTAGCCTCAGGGACTTCCTGAATTTCTGCTCTTGGCCTGACCTAAGCAGTTTCCCAGGGCAAGAGGGGGCAGGAGTGGGGTGGGGGAGACAGACCACCCCTCCCCATTTGTGTCTTCCTCTGGCTTGCCATCTCTTGGTTTGTGGAAACATGCAGAGGCAAGAGACCGGCTGCTGTGGGGCTGAGGTGGCCTCAGCTGCTTCTCTGCAGGGATCTCCTTGGCCCCCATCCTGGTGGGACCCCCACCCCACCTTGGGGTCCTCATCATGGACATCTGGTGAATTATGGGGAACAGCAGACTGGAAAGATGTGGGGGGGGACTCTCAGCAGTCTAGTCACACCTTGACTGGAGTGCTTTTGTGGGGCACCTCCTAACCAAGACCTCTTGCCTGCAACCTCTAGGTCTTGGCCTTGGCGTGGGTCTACCTGGTTGCCCTGGCTCTCAGGTGAGTGGCCAAAGACCACCTTTCCCTCCCTCCTTCCCTCCAGCCAGGCCTCTTCTCTGCCCTCCAACCACATGGGGAGCAGCCTGACCCCCTGTTGCCCTCCTCCTGGCGGGATCTCCAGCCCCATGCTCTGTGGGTCGCAGGGAATCCAGGCAGCTTTCTGGGGGCCTTTGATGGTAGGGGGTGAGCAAGGGCACCCACAGGCTGTGCCCTTTGGCTGGGTGGGTCCTGGCTACTCGTCTGCCTGCCATGGGGGGAGGGGGCGCCTGCAGAGTCTGCCTGCCTTGGCACCCCCCCTCACCCGCCTTCTCTGGAGGCACCCGAGGGTGTCGGGCACATCTGAGTCCATAGCTGTCAACGTTGTCCTTTTTTTAAGGGAAATTCCCTTATTCCGAATAGGATTCCTTGCAAGAAAAGGGAAACGTTGACAGCTATGCATCTGACACCAGCAGTTGAGGGCAGAGCATAGGAGTCCAAGCTGCTCCTCTCCAAATCCAAATTTGGAGGAAAGAGGGAGCAGCCGGCCTCCCTCCCCAGGACGTGACAGGCCAGCTACACAAAATACTTGCCCGGTTCTTGGGGGCTGCCTCCTCTGCCCATGGGCATGGTGGGTGGGCAGGCGATGGAGGGGGAGCTGGGTGGGGTGGGGGTTCCCCTCTCCCAAGCGAGAGCCCAGCTGACTCCTGTCCGTCTTTGTCTTGCAGCCTGCTGGGCAGCGGTTCCATTGTGGCTGCCTCCCTCCTCCGAAGGCGATGCTGCCAGGATCAGGTCTGCCCGGGTGGGGTTTCCGATGCAGCCTCCCCCCATGCTCCGCCACCCAGGGCATCATTCTGCAGGAGCCCCCTGGGCGCACGGGAGAGTCGCTTGCATTTGACAAGCGCTCTTCAAAATCCTCACCCGAGTGCTGCTGCCAAAGAGAGCAGCCTGCAAGAGGATGGGCTCAGAGCAATCTGGGAGCCCTCCCCCCAGCTCCCCATCCAGCCCAGCTTAACGGGAGGGGGGGGGAGGGAGACTTTGAAGCGTTAGGGTTGCTGTATTTCAAAATGTGAAAATCCAGACAGAAAAGTTGTCAAGCTTTTCCCCAGATGTCTAGATTGTGCAGCAGGCTGAGCTCTGGGAACGGGACAAGAGAAGCCGGGGGGGGGTCACTCCCTGGCCTGCCTGACCTTTGAGTCCCCTTCAATCTGATTATCCAGAGCATGGGTAGGCAAACTAAGGCCCGGGGGCCGGATCCGGCCCAATCGCCTTCTAAATCTGGCCCATGGACGGTCAGGGAATCAGCGTGTTTTTACATGAGTAGAATGTGTCCTTTCATTTTAAATGTATCTCTGGGTCATTTGTGGGGCACAGGAATTCGTTCATTCCCCCCCCCCAAAATATAGTCCGGCCCGCCACAAGATCTGAGGGACAGTGGACCGACCCCCTGCTGGAAAAGTTTGCTGACCCCTGGTCCAGAGGGTGGGCTCTGGGTGCCAGGGGCAGAGGGGTCCTGCCGGTTGCTGGTCTGGAGCTGGCCCTGACCCCTTGTTCTCCCCCCAGCTCTGCCCGCTCTTCCTCCTCTCCCTGGCGGATCTCCTGGGTGCCTCGGCCCTCCTCTCCGCAGCTGCCATCCAGCTCCTTCCACCGCGGCTCTTCGTCTCGGCCTACCAAGCCTGTCCCTACCTGCAGATGCTGGGCCTGGTAAGGGAGCCGTCTTCTGCCCGGCAGGGGCGTGTGGCAGCCGCCTTTCACACCAGTGGGTGGCATGGAATGCAGTCAGCTGCCTTGCTCTGAGCCAACTCAGAATTACCTGCCCTGACTGGCAGCCAGGGCTCTCCAGGTTTTCAGGCAGAGGAGTCTCTCCAAGCCCCACCTGGAGATGCTAAGGGGGATTTGAACCCAGGACCTTCTGCTTGCAAGGCTCTGCCACCCCTTCCTGGGGTCTCATGGCTGAGAGCTTGACCCAAGTGAGTCCTGCCAGTTCCTGCAGACAGACGGATGGGGCAGCCTCCTGGCTCTGGAACCAGCCCATCAGCCCTGCCCAGGTGAGGGCGCCCCTGCCTTGTGCCAGAGCCAGGTTGGCCCCCTCTGTCCCCTGCCAGGCCCCTCTTGGCGCTCACCTGCCCTTGCCCTGCCTTCCTCTTCCCCAGATGTTCTACGCCGTTTCTCTGCTGATGATCGTCGTCTATGCCTACGAAGTGAAGCGAGCTCTGGGGGGCTGGAGGGAGGCCCCTTCCTCTGTCCTGCTGCAGGTAGGAAGGGCGTGGGGCCCCTGCCTGGCTCTGAGAGCTTAGGAGGGACCCCAAGAGCCATCTAGACCAGCCCCTTGCAGTGCCTCAATCACAGCCAAGATGGCGGAGGGTCTCCTCACCAACCACAAGGCTTCTACCCATTGGCAATGGGAGTTCCTGCACTTCAGCTGGGGTCCTCCAGGTTTTTTGAGCCCCAGGCACCCTGCCAACTGGTACTGATGGGAGTTGTAGTCCAGCTTGCCTGGGGGGGGCACCAGCCTGGGCAAGGCTTCACCAGTGGGGTGCTGGCCAGCCTTGGAGAGGGGGCATCTGCAAGGACTTGGGCTGTTCCTTCTAGGGCAGGGGTCCCCAAACTAAGGCCCACGGGCCAGATAAGGCCTGAGGGACTCGTTTATCTGGCCCGCGGTGACCCCCACTGCCGCCGCCCGCTCTTACTGGCACTGCGCTGTGCGGCTGCCCACTTCTGGGTTGGAGGAACATCTGGAAATAGCTCGTGCGCATGCGCAAGCGTTATTTCCGGTGCACATTTGGGTCAGAGGAGGTCCGTGCACATGCACACAAGCTACCATATTTTTCGCTCTATAAGACGCACCAGACCACAAGACGCACCTAGTTTTTGGAGCAGAAAAACAAGAAAAAAATTATTCTGAATCTCAGAAGCCAGAACAGCAAGAGGGGTCGCTGCGCAGTGAAAGCAGCAATCCCTCTTGCTGTTCTGGCTTCTGGGATAGCTGCGCAGCCTGCATTCGCTCCATAAGACGCACACACATTTCCCCTTACTTTTTAGGAGGGGGGAAGTGCATCTTATGGAGCGAAAAATACGATATTTCCGGTGCTCCTCCAACCCGGAAGTGTGCTGGAAATGCATGTGGGCACACGTATGGGCACAGGCCCCCCTGCCCTCCGGCCCACTGCGCAATCGGCGCTGGAGACACTGGCCCAAGGTGCAGTAAGTTTGCTGACCCCTGTTCTGGGGCCTGGCTCCATAGAGGGGGGCTTCTCAGGACTCCGCCCATGGGTGCCCAAGGTGCTCTGGCTGGGAAAGGCTCTGGCAGAGGCCCCAGCCCAGTTGGGGGAGGCTCAAGAGGCTGGTGGGCACCTGGGGGAGACACAAGCAGGGGAGAGGAGGCCTTGGACAATTCCCGGCGGGTGTTTGCCTTTGCTAAGGAGGCTGCCTTCCTCTCAGCTGCCGTCTCTGTTTCCCCCCAAGGAGGAGAGCGGCAGGTTCAACGAGAGACTCCGAATAAATCTGCCCCGTCTCTTGGCCTGGTAGGTGCAACTGACTGGCGGGGACTGTCCTGCCAGCCTTTCCCTTTGGGAGGGGCCCCTCTTGGCCCCTGGAGGCCACACAAGGCGAAGCCACCTCTCAGCCCCATTGCCTCTGAGCCATCTCCTTCCACAACACCCCACCCTGTGTCTTCTCGCAATAAAGGCTGCTCCCGTTCCTGGTCTTCGTGGTCCTGCTGGTGATTCGAGGCTCGTCCCTGAGAGATGTGGCGCCCTGGGCCTTCCCCCCGTTGGCGTTACAGGCTGGCAACGGCTCGCGAGGGTCCCACGGCCTCTACTGCTCCAGGTAAAACCTCCCCCCCTTCCTCTCCCTTGGGATGGGGTGGGATTTTGCAGAGGAGGGTGGTCTCTTGCGTCCAGCTAGCCAAACCTTCCCACTTTCCTTCCAGCTGCCTGGTCCTCATCCGCCACTCGCATGACACCTGCTACAAGGTACTGCCCCCCCCCCCAGTGCTTCCTCCATCAGCTGCTTCCTCTCCCTGTTGGTCTGGGATACCCTTTCTTGGACCCCACCCCCATCCTTTATGGCACAAGGTCCCTTAGTTCTGGGTCAAGGGGCCCCCAGCAACAGCAGGGTTGTGGTGTTGTGAAACCAGCTGCCCCCCCAGCTCCCCTGGAGGACCAGACGGCCGTCCCAAATGCTGCCTCCTTTACTTCCTTCTCAGGTGGTGATAAAAAGTAAAGGTAAAGGTACCCCTGCCCGTACGGGCCAGTCTTGGCAGACTCTAGGGTTGTGCGCCCATCTCACTCAAGAGGCCGGGGGCCAGCGCTGTCCGGAGACACTTCCGGGTCACGTGGCCAGCGTGATGAAGCTACTCTGGCGAGCCAGATCCGCACACGGAAACACCGTTTACCTTCCCGCTAGTAAGCGGTCCCTATTTATCTACTTGCACCCGGGGGTGCTTTCGAACTGCTAGGTTGGCAGGCGCTGGGACCGAGCAGCGGGAGCGCACCCCGCCACGGGGATTCGAACCGTCGACCTTTCGATCGGCAAGCCCTAGGTGCTGAGGCTTTTACCCACAGCGCCACCCATGTCCCACAGGTGGTGATAGTGCCCAGATATTGGCATGCGGCTAGTCTCATGGGTCCCAAGGATCATCCAAACTAACCCCAAGCCCCCTGGATCTCTGGTTGAACTTGGGGAGGTTTGTTCCCCTTCCATTTCCAGTATTCCTCCTGGCAGCATCTCTCCTGTCACAGGAGAGCAGGAACTCGCTGCCCCCCAAAACAGAGGGTGATGGGATTCTCAGGAGACCCTCCTGTCTGCCTGGGCAGCTGAGCCCCAATGGGGGTGGGCAAAGTGCCCCCATGGGCTTCAGAGGCTCTTTCCAGAACACTTGCAGAAGGGCCACGGGGCCTGTTTCCATGGGGGGGGGGGAGTTTACCCTTGGACCCCACCCCACCAGTGTTGGCCCCCTTACTGAGGAGCTTCCCCCCTCCCCTCCCAGTACACAGGCAGGGATGACTCTGGCAAAGAAGTCAAGATCTTCTTTCTCATCTTCGTCTCTCTGGTTGTCGCCTGCTGCACAGTAAGTGTGTCCGTCCGTCCGTCCGTCCGTCCGTGTAAGTGTGGGCATCCACCAGGGCCTGTTTATTTATTTTTGAAATATACTCAGAGATGAGAGTGGATTTCATGCTCTTTATTCATCTCATAGTCGTGAGGAATGGAAGTTCCCCTGAGATGTCTGTTTTATATACATTATTTACGCAATGGGCCGCACGTGATTGGCTAATTCCAGGATTCACCTGTAGACCAATCAGGTTGTGGATTCACTTCCACCTGGAGCTGGATTGGGTGACTCCTGCGGACCAATCAGACTGCTGCATTCTGGATCCTATTGTTCTAGGACCAATCAGACTGCTACTTTCTGAATCCTATTGTTCTAGGACAAATCAGACTGTTTGATTTTGGATCCTAGTCAACTCAGTACATAACAATTTTTATTTTTTATTTTTTATTGAATTTATATACCGCCCTATACCCAGGGGTCTCAGGGCGGTTCACAGAATAAAATCAAGATATAAAATCACAAAATACACAATGAAGATAAAAACAACAACCCAATAGCCCCCCCCCCATTTGTGGTCTGCTGACCTTTCCCTTCTTTATCCCTTTTGCTAGGAATAAGCTGCACATTTTAGTAAAAACAAAAATGGTTTACTTACATTTAATTTTTTTTTTAAAAAAAAATATTTTTAATTGGAATTTTATTTACAACATAACACAACCCCGCCCCCACTCCCGCAATACACAAATCCACCCTCATTAAGCGTGAACATAACATACAATAAGCAAACAACCAAATAAGAGACTTCCTTTATCCTGTATCTGGCCTCCTTATTTACTTCTTATAAACTGTTTCCTTTATGAATAATTATTTAGATTTTTCTAATTATAACTTAAATATCCACTTAAAGTCTCCTGCAGACATTAATCAAAACAAGTCCAGCTATTTTAGGGCACTGTTTTGTGAAGTATTCTTTGCATTTCCCCCATGCTTTTTGAAACTCTTGTCTAGTGTGATCTCTACGAATTGCCTCTGTTAATCTAGCCAATTCAATATACTCTAACAGTTTATCTTGCCATTCCATTTTTGTTGGCACAGTTTCTTTTCCCCAGTTTTTAGCAATTAGGATCCTTGCTGCTCTTGTGGCATAGAGGAATATTTTCTGATCTTCTCTTGCTATACCTGTGTCCGTTATCCCTAGTAGAAAATCTTCTATATTTTTCATAAAATGATACTTAAACATTTTTTTAAGCTTGTCATACACTGTGTTCCAGAAGCTTTTGATTTTTCCACAGGTCCACCAAACATGTATAAGTGTCCCCTCTGTTTTACCACACCTCCAGCACAGATTTGTTTTTGTCTTATACATTTTAGCTATTTTGGTAGGTGTTAAGTACCATCTGTTAAACATCTTGATTAGGTTTCCCCTCAATACTTCACAGACTGTAAATTTCCAGTTCTTTCTCCGTAGTTCTTCCCATGCTGTTAATGGTTTTCCCAATATCTAAAACCCACTTGATCATTACCTCCTTGGCCTGTTCATCTTTGACCTCCCACTCCAATAATGTATCATACATTTTTTATATTACCTTGGTTTTGTTTTTCTAATAATGAAGGTTCGTTTTAGAAACCTTTTTTCTTATCTGTCCTGAACACTTCATGCAATTGATGGTATTGGATCCAACCTGTAAGGTGTTGTTTAATTTCCTCATCTTCCTAATCTTTAATTACCAATTTAATGTGTTTTTCCTTAATCAGATCTTTATATGTGGCCCATTCTAACTCCATTTTTTTCTTTTTCTTTTTGTAATTGCTTCTAGAGGTGATGCCCACCGTGGTGTTTTCGGTTCTAGGAGATTCTTATATTTTTGTCCATGTTTTATATAATGATTTCCTTAGGACATGATTCATAAATCCCCTGTGTACTTTCCCTTTTTCATAAGCTAAATATGCATGCCAACCATAATGATTATTAAACCCTTCTAGATCTAACAAATCACCACCTTTTAACTTTACTTACATTTCAATGCAGGCAGCAAATACGTCAAAAGTATTTTACTCGGGTAAAAATGGAGCCTGGTCTGAGGCCCATTCGCTGGCTGACCAAATGACCTGCTCTTCTTGGCCAGGTGAATGGGCATGCCAATGGGGAAAGAGCCCAGAGAAGGGTGGGGGGTCTGAGTTCTGCCCCTTTCCTTGCCCCTAATGGCTGCCTCCCGCCGCCCCTGGCCAGGTCCTCTACTGCAGGGTGAAGTGCTGGTGTCGCCGCAGGCAGAGAGGTGGCCCCACCCTGACCCTGCCAGCTCCGGAGAGTGACAGCTGTTCCATCAGAACCCGCATCGCCTGCTTCTTCCAGCTGGTCTTTCTGGTCTGCTGGATGCCAGGTGAGTGACCAGGAGCCTTGTCTCCTCCTCTAGCTTCTGCCTCCCCTGAGAGGTAGCTCCGCTGAGAGACTGCTTTGGGGGCACTTGCCTTCCACGTTGCAATACTTGGGTCTGAAGACATGGAAATCCAGCCTCAAGGCATCTTCGAGGGGAAAGAGGCAGACTCTCTTCTTGTTTGGCAAGTGTGGAGACCCCCAAGTTAAGCCTCATCACTTACCTCCAGGTTTCTGGTGTTTATTGAATGAGTCGAGAACAATCAAGACACGTTGTCTAACAACTCATCCCCACCCTTGGGGTGGATCCCCAAATCAGATACAGACCCTGAGAGCTTTATTTGGGCTGCCGGGGGTGGGGAGAGTCTCTGGGAGCCAGTGTGGTGTAGCGGTTAAGAGTGGTGGACTCCTAATCTGGTGAACTGGGTTCGCTTCCCCGCTCCTCCACATGCAGCTGCTGGGTGACCTTGGGCTAGTCACACTTCTCTAAAGTCTCTCAGCCCCACTCACCTCACAGAGGGTTTGTTGTGGGGGAGGAAGGGAAAGGAGATTGTTGGCCGCTTTGAGACTCCTTCGGGTAGTGATAAAGCAGGATATCAAATCCAAATTCGTCTTCTAATTCTTCTGATCCATCAGGCGGCAGGTGGTTTTCCCCCAGCGCAGAGACAAAGACCACCCAGTTCAATTATAAATCAGGGCTATTATGGGGTGTGTCTGCCAAGATGGGCAGAGGGATCAGCACCCAGGCAGAGGGAATCCTGGAGGTTTGCTAAGTTGCCGCATGTTGGCTGAACCCAACATTTCGAACTGCGGAAATACCTGGAAAAGGTGTAAATGGGAGGAGCTTCCTCCCTCCCCTCCTCCCCCCCAGATGCCCCGTGTTTGTGCATTTATAGAATCGCAGGCTTGTAGGGACCCCAAAGGGTCATCTAGCCCAACCGCCCGCCCTGCAGGAATCACAGCTGGAGAGTCCCAGATGGATGAGCCACCAAGGCAGGAGGGTCTGGCACCTTCCCAGAGAGTCTGTTCCACTGGCAAGGAGTAGTTCTGGGTTCCTTGGTGAGGGAGGGGTCATGGGCGACAGGAGCCACCCTAAGCGGATGGAAGAAAGAACTTGTTCCCTGGTGGCAGACAAAGGCCTTTTCGGGGGTGGAGGGAGAGAGGGAAGGCTTATAGGAACTCTGCTCTGCCAGAGGCCAGCTCCATCTTTCGCCCAGCTGAGCACCCGCTTGGTCACCGAGGGAGAAAAGGTGGCCGTGATCCCAAACCGTGAGCTACATTCTCAGGGGATGGTGACTCAGCAGGTGTAGGGATAATTGCTGGGTCCGGAGGGAGGACACTCCCCACCTGCAGTCAGCCTCAGCCTGCCTGCACGTGTGACCTTGGGGTGCAGGGCACACTCCCCCACAGACAAGCCACCGCTGTCTGAACACTGTTCCCTCTGTCTAACCTTTTGCCGTCTCAGCAGTCTGCGGTGCCCTGTCTGTAAGCTTTGTCTCGGAGACCTTTTGTCTCCTTTGTCATACACTGTGCAAGGGGAAAATGACGCGGTGGAAACAGGTGCCAAAATAACTTTGTACCACCCCACGATCTCAGGACTGGAAGATGTGTAAAGGTCACAGCCCCAAATGTATCTGCCTGGGTTTGCATATTGTGTCAATAAAAGGAGCCTCCACAGAGCTGGCCGGCAGCTTGCATGCAGCTCACCTGCGTTATCAACTCCTGCCTCATGTCCATCACTTCAACCTGGGGCCAGGGTGCCCCCTGCCAGCCTGGTGACCTTGGCCAGGAAAAGTGACATGGCCCCTTCTTCTCTCCTTCCCCCTCAGCTTTCTTCCTGTGCCTGCTCTCCTTCTCCAGTCTCCAGCCGGCCATCCTCTTCCCTCTCTACTTGGCTGTGGTGAGTGACCGGGGGGGGGGTCCTTGGAGGGGCTGAAGCAAATGCACTGGTCTTGCATCGGCTCCTGGACTTCAGTGCTGGCGAAGGGAGGGGTTCCCACTTATGTCACCCCTTTCCTGCAGAGCTGGCAGCCCCATTCCTTTTCCAAACGCCCTCCCTTGTGGCGTGTTCCCTCAGCCTCCTCTCCTTGGGAGTCCCCTGGGCAGCCACAGCTGCCACCCCTGGTCTCTGAGCTGTCCCCTCCTGCCCCAGAGAGAGGTGCCTCCTCACACTGCCCCACAGGGGCTTGGGATGCAACCCCTGGCCAGCCCTAGGGGTGCCATTTGCCTGCGGAGCTTATAGTCAGTGTTGTAAACAAAATCTGCCCTTTTTCCCCTTATGGGGTATCCAAGAGCCCTTAAGTGGGTTCTCCATCGGTAGGAGAAAAGAACAGAGGCCAACCAGAGAATATTGAGAAGCAAAGCAGCTAGTAAGCCTGATCTTTATTGATCTGTTGCAACAGGGTGCTCCCCTTTACACGTAGGAAAGGAGGAGCACCCAGAACAAAGGCGTGCCTGCCCTTATATAGACATTTTAAATTCCCTGCCCTGGAGCTCCAGGCCACCCCTCCATACATCACAGAAGGGGTGTAACCCCAGACCACCCCCCACAAACATCATACCTACATCACAGAAAAGACTGTCTACAACAGAAATGTGAATGTTGTTGTTTTTCCTGTCTGCCAGGTTTTCTTTTAATGCCTTATCTGATTCCCTTTCCTGGTAGTCTGGCCATTCCTTTGAAATGGTGATTACTAAATTCCTGTAACAAGGAAGGTGGTTTTTTTCCACCTCCTCCCTCCTTGCAGAGAAACATTTGGTCAGCTTGGGAGTCAAAATGGTTTCAGGACTGTCTTCCTGTGCTGCTTCAGGCATGTGGTTTATATATTTATGCATGTGTTTGCTTGGTACATTTATGAACATTTAATATATATCTAAGACCTTAAAATTCTTATTACACCAGGGCTGCTGCAACAAAGAGCTGTGCAAGCCTTTGGCAGGCAGAGATGTGAGAGGGCATCAGAGGAGGGAGGGAAGGACAGAAGGACAGAGTCCAGGGCTGCCTGAGGCACCCCTACCCATCATTCAAGGCACCCCAGGGTGCCACAGCACACTGGTTGAAAACCACTGATCTAGAATTGGCGGAAATGACTGGTAGGATCTGAGACCAGGGAGAAGAGTCAGTGGAAGAAGACTGGAAGAAATTTAAAGACTATTTACAGAGATACTGTAAAATTAATGAATGTTAGAATGATGTTGGATAGAAATTAAGTGGTTTCTAGCTAATGGTATAAAAGAATATGAAAAAATGGTTTTTTATAAGTAAAAATTTAATGTTATAATAATTTAAGATTAAAGATCTGGGTAGAATAAAGAGGGAAAGAAACTGCTGAGCTAATAAATTGAATTGGAATACAAAAAAGGGAGGTACGAGGAGGTCCGGGAAACAAGTAAACGAAAAATAATGTGATGAAAGGATTGATTGTTTTTAACTATTTTTATTTTGTATTTTTCTTTTCTTTTTCTATTTTGTAATGTAAAAACCTTAATAAAATTTTTATTAAAAAAAGAAAAAGAAAACCACTGATCTAACCAAACAAAGCCATGCGGTGGTCAGCCACAGAAATGCCAGCAGAGCAATCCACCAGAGGCGGCCTTGGATACTTTAAGCGATTGCAGGATTGCAAGTGGGGTCTCAACTCCCTGGATCTCCGGGCCCCCGTGAAGTTTCCCCCCTCCCCAGCCTCCCTTTGCTCTGCCAGAGCACACCCGTCTCCCCCCGAGATGCTGAAGCTGCTGGATTTTGTGCCCCCCCCTTAAGCGTAACGCCCCCTCTTTTCCCTTTCTGCAGGCCCTGACCGTCTCCCTGCAAGGCTTCTTGCACAGCCTGGTCTACGGGTGGCTGCGGCAGAACTTCCGCCGGGAGGTGACCGGGGAGCAGATGCCCCTCCTGGGCCACCTGGGCCAGAAAGCCTTTTTCGAGGACTCCCTGGCCATATGCAGGGAGGGCTGAAGAAAGAGGGGAAGGCAGGGTCTCCCCAGAACAGAACGCTGCAAAACTCAGGCAGGGAGCAGCTCAGCTCTGCTTCCCTCCCCCCCCCTGCTGGGGAGGGGGTGCATTACAAGCCCCTCCACCTCTGGGTTTTTTTGTAAGGGTATTTTGCTCAGGACTTGATTAGCCCAGCAGCCAGCAGGATCACACCAGAGACGCGTAGGAGCCGTGCGCTCTGCTTGCTACAGGGGCTTCATGTGTTGTGGGGAAATCAGGAGATGGTTGTCGCCCCCCCCCCCTTTGCTCTGGGGTCTCACGATCCCCTGGGGTCCACTTGGCGGTCAGAGCAAAGCAAGAAAAGGCAACCAGGTATATGAAAAGCAAGGCGACTAGGAGGCCCAATCTTTATTGTTGTCACAGCGAGGTTCCTACTTCTGAAACAGCAAAGGGTGCGACTCCTTTGAAAAGTTTGCCTTTTGCCCAGAGATCCACTCCCAAAAAGCACTGTCCAAATGTTGCAAGGCTTCCCAGGAAGAGGTGACTTTTTCAGAAACCTGAGTCCTTGCCTTGTCTCCAAGATATCTGAGCATGGCAAGTCTCCTCTCCTCTGCTCATCTTTGGACAAACATGAGCACACCCCTTTGGCGTCACAAATAACCTTCGCCCCAATCCATTCACCTAGTCTCTTGCTCAACGGTTTCTTCCTGGGCAGATAAGGATCCTTCCTTCCGTTGTCAGCCCATTGTGCTGCCCATGGTCAGGACTCGGGGACTGTGGCTGCAGCCATGACGTGCTCAGACACTGTTGCTCAGAACCACTTTGGCTCGCTCTGTGTATGATTCTGTGACCTTTGGCTTGAGTTCTATTCATGAATAAACTATTTTATTTTAATATCTACGGTTTTCCCATTCATAAAACAGGCCTTATGAGTGCTAGTTGGGGGTTGGTGGCAGTACCTCTGGTGGGGGACACACCGTGCTCCTCCTGGGGCAGTTTGGTCCCCAGTCTGCCCTCGGCTTTCATCTGGGGCTCCTAGTAGCTGCCAGCATGGTGCAACAGGGGCCACACTCTGCAAAATGGCTTTGACTGACCCCAGGGCATATTTTACTGCCCCCGTCCCCCCCCTCTATAATTTCCCATTTTTACAATTACTTTAACAACAAAAAATAAATTCATCCAAAATCAATCTGCATTTTCTTTTACTCCCTCTCCTTCTCTGTGGTTACTTATTTTGTATCTTATTCTTGCTGCATATCCAGTTCAAGCCTATTTACAAATTTTCCCTTTATAATTCCTTTTAATTATTTCTTACTGCTCATTTTTATTACGTCAATCCTGCTAATGTTTTTAATTGTTTACAGTGCATATTCATGTATTCAACACATTTCCCCCATTCTGTTCTAAGAAACCTCTCATCTTTCGCTCTTATTTTTCCAGTAAGTTTCGCCATTTCTGCTACTCCATCCTTTTTAGTTGCCAGTTATCCTTCATTGGAATGCTTTCCTCTTCCAGTTTCTGGGCGAACACCATTTGGGCAGCAGTAGCAGCATACCTAAAGAGGTTTTTTTCTGTTCTTTGAAATCACCTCCCAGAAGACTTTTACTATCTTACATGGCCACCACATAATAATAATAATAATAATAATAATAATAATAATAATAATAATAATAATATATTTATATCCTGTTCTCCCCAGCCGAAGCCGGGCTCAGAGTGGCTAACAGCAGTAAAAATAACACAGTTTACATAAAATCACAATCAATTAATTGAAATACATTCTAAAATCAAATCATTCTAAAATCAATCCAGAGTCAAATTAATGGCAACCATTGGGCTAGAGTTCTATGAGGATTACAGAAGGAGAGAGGGGGTCAGACTGTGCCTTGGCCAAAGGCCAGGCAGAACAGCTCTGTCTTGCAGGCCCTGCGGAAAGATGTCAAGTCCCGCAGGGCCCTGGTCTCTTGGGACAGAGCGTTCCACCAGATCGGGGCCACAGCCGAAAAGGCCCTGGCTCTGGTTGAGGCCAGCCTAACCTCCCTGTAACCCGGGATCTCCAAGATGTTTTTATTTGAAGACCGTAAGGTCCTCCATGGGACATACCAGGAGAGGCGGTCCTGTAGGTATGATATGAAAAAGGTTCCTTCCTTCTCTTTACATTCCAGCATGTATTTGATTCAGTCTTGTACATTTTAGCTAACCTACTAGGCGTCAAATACCATCTATACATCATTTTCATATAGTTTTCTTTTAACTCATAGCACGCTGTAAAACTGCCCATCCCTTCTCAATGGGTTCAGTTTGTACATTTCTGAATGCTTTTTAAATAGGACGCAGGGGAAAGGATGGATGCCCCATTGGCAGAGTGCCAGCCTGATGCTGCCCCCACCCCTCCTACAGTCTCTGGGTGGGCCCCACAGAGAAAGCCTGACTTCAGGCAGCAAGGGGCAAGTTGAGGGAGGATACGTCCCGGCTAGCAGCTCTTGTCTGCGGGGGGCAGAGAGAGACGGCAAGTGGGGCAGACAACGCTGCCTTTCTCCTTCAAAGGCCTCCTTTCTTCTAAAGCAGAACAAGTCTCTGCTCAGCCCCACAGTAGAGGCTGCACCCCTTTTGGTTCTCAAGGGTGAGATCCTAGCAGGGCAGAGACCTGCGGCTGCTTGTCCCTCGAGAAGAGAGCCCTGATCCGAGCACTTTCCACCTATCAGGCACAACTCACTTGGGAGCGCCCTGCTTACCAGCTTCTCTTGGAGCTTCAGGATGCTGGCTGAGATGGGCCCTGGTGGCCTGATCCAGTCTCAGGCTCTTATATTCTGAAGACCAGCCCACTGGGAGAGGCAGAATCAGGTCATTAAAAGTGACTGACTGAAGCCACCCCATGAACTGGGCAGCGCATCCTTTCAAACGTCTGTATCGCCATTTCTTTCTGACGTACCAAGTGCCCACCTTGAGAGAAGCTGCTCCTCTCCCCCTTTTGCAGCAGGGATGCACACCAGGCGCCACTTGCCTGCCTGTCCCCACAGACGGGGACCAACACATCACCTGGCGAGCCAAGAGGGTCTCCTCCTCCTTCAGGATTCCAGTTATTGCCCACATGCAAAAGCTCAGCGGAGGGATCTGTAGGAGTTTAGCCCTGACTCTCGTCCACTGAGATTTTCTTAGGGGATTCTCAAGGCTGAAACAGGCCTGGCCAGAGTCTGGAGGGGCCAGCCAGCCAGCCAGGCTGCTCCCTTGAGGAGAGAGCCCCAATCTGGGCACCTTCCACCCATCGGGCGCAACTCGCTTGGGAGCATCCCGCTTACCAGCTTCTCCTGGAGCTTCAGGACCAGGTTGACCACCTCAACCTCAGACTTGTCCTTCACTGCCCACCCTCTTCTGTTTCGTTTGCTGTTTGCTCAAACGGAACAAAGAGCAGGGAAAGCCCCTCCCCTCCAGGCAAGCAGAGGGGAAAGGATCGCGTCCTTCCTTCTAATTCCTCTCCGTGCTCCGGTGCTGCTGCGTCCAGGGAAGCATTTTAGGGACTCGCAGGCAGCCGGAAAACATGCAGGTGGGGTGGGGGGGGAGAGAGAGAGAGAGAGAGTGCCTGGCTGGCTTGGGTGTGTGTGTGGGGGGGGAACTTTTGCCTTCCTTTCCTCCCTCCTGTTATACCCCTCTCCTGCATTCTTAGCCAGCTGCTTCTCCGCACACCCCACTCGTGCTCCTTGTCCCTTCTGTGTTTTTCCTTCCCTCCCCACTTGAAATGTGGTTACAAAGCACAGATCCACATGGATCCTCAGGATCTTTGCATTGGGTCAGCCCAAATTCACCATCAGATCACATAGCATGTCCATGGCTACAGCCTGCACCAAAAAAATCACGCATCCACTGTTGCCTGGGGCTGCAGTGGTGCAAAAACGTGGTTACAAAGCACAGATCCACAGGGATGTCAGGAAAAAGCAGCAATGCAAAAGCCAGCTGCAGGTGGCTGGAAAGCAAAACAGGATGTTGCTGTCTGGAGCTGTGCTGTTGGAGAAAAGGGGAAGTCTTTTCTCTGTACTGAGCACCGGATGTTAGCTCAGAGTGCCATCTGACCTGTACTGGAAGTACAGGGGTGGAGCTGTGACTCTTCTGCCGGAGTCAGACCGGGTACAGACACATTTCTCTGTACTGCTGAATGACAGGAATAAAAGACATGTAATTAGGACTCCTGTCTGTCTCTTTTCCGCTCCCTGGGGGAATGCAGGGAGGGAGAGGAGGAGGGTGTGTTCTCTTCACGTTTGAGGAGGATCGCCGAGTTGCGACCTTGCCTGTATCCTGCCGGGGAAGCAGACGGGAAGGTCATCAAGGATCTCGAGCCGAATGCCTGGTATGAGGCCAGTTCCCTCTGACTGATGGCTGAGAATCCAATGCAGGATTTTTGCATTGGGTCACCCCAAACTCACCATCAGATCACATGTCTGTGGCCACAGCATGAGGCACAAAAATGATACATCCACTGTTTCATTCAGAATTCCCCCCCCTTGTTTTCCTCCTCTAAAACGATGTGCGTGTTATGGTCAGGTGCGTGTTATAGAGCGAAAAATACGGTATGTAACCTCTACAAAGAAGACTACGCATCCATAGCTTAGAGAAACGGGCAGCTCTATAAAGGTAGAAAAATGACAGAGTTACGATTTTCATCACAAAAGTTTTGTAGAACTAATCCCAGCCTCCATCACATGTATGAAAAATCTGTAGAATATCCCTGTCCCCATATGCAGGGGAGAACAGAAAAAGGCCTTCTACTTGTCACCCTTCCTTGGGAGATGCTGGCAGGACTCACATATTTAAGAGTGAAGTTGGGAACTCCTTATTGTGGAGCAGTAGCCCTTGGTGATATATATTTTGTGTGACTTTGCATTTTGCTTTTATATCACTACCCTGTGCATTGTCGAAGGATCCTTGCAAAGCACAGGCGGCTGGCTGGGCAAACCTGAGCCCAACTCAGCCGGCAAGGCTAAACTGTCAGGGGGGACTTTCTGACAGAGGAACAGTCTCCCTCGGAAGGTGGTGGATTCTTCTTCCTTGGAGGTTTTTAAGCAGAGGTTGGGTGGCCATCCTGCATGGAGACTTTAGCTGAGATTCCTGCATTGCAGGGGGTTGGACTAGATGACCCTTGGGGTCCCTTCCAGCTCTACGATTCTATGATTCTAGGGTGCTTCCACAGCTCTTAAGCAGGCCAGGATGCAGCACACACACACACACACACACCAAGGAGCCCAGGTTTGTCCTGCTTGGCTCTTTGTGAGATGCTGAGTGTGCGCTCTGGCTCTGCAAAGCCCTCAAGCAGACGGCAAAGAAATACTAGTAAAGGAAATGTAGTGAACGATGTCAGGCTGACGTTTCAGCTCTGCTGACAAGAGGCCTCCTCCTCTTCCCTGCGGCAAAAACAATACTGAAGGCAGCAGTTACGGGTTAAAAGCTTGACCTGATTGGCTACAGGTTGCCTTTGTTGGTGGGATAGATTTCAGTGCCTCACTGGTCAGCTACTGCCTGCCTTAAGCCGGGTTGCCCCTGTTCAATAAAGCGTTGACCTGCTACCATCCACCCGCTCCTGTGCTTGGAGCTCAGAGCACCACTCAACGCATGGACTGAAATTCTGCACTAGGCAAGTGCTCTTTGACAGAGGTGGTGGGCTCTCCTTCCTTGGAGGTTCTTAAGCAGAGGTCGTCTGGTCATCTGTCACAGATGCTTCAGCTGAGATTCCTGCATTGCAAGGGGTTGGACTAGATGACTCACAGGGTCCCTTCGAACTCTGCAATTCTACAATTCTATCATTCTCCCTGCTGTGGATTTTTTGATGGGTAGCGAGATTGGCTCTCCTGCTGAACCTGTTTCCACATTCCGGGCACTGATATGGTTTCTCCCCGGTATGAATGCTTTGATGGGAAGTGAGATGGGAGTTCCGACTGAAGCTCTTTCCGCATTCCAAGCACTGGTAGGGTTTCTGCCCTGTATGGATGCTTTGATGGGAAGTGAGACTTTCCCTCCGACTGAAGCTCTTTCCACACTCTTGGCACTGAAATGGTTTCTCCCCACGGTGAATACTTTGATGTCGGCGGATGTTTGCACTTGTAGTAAAGGTCTTCCCACATTCCAGACACTGGTAGGGTTTCTCCCCTGTATGAATTCTTTGGTGGTACGTGAGACTTTCCTTCCAAGGGAAGCTCTTTCCACATTCCAAGCACTGATAGGGTTTCTCCTGTCTATGAATTCTTTGATGGGACGTGAGATGGGAGTTCCGACCGAAGCTCTTTCCGCATTCCAAGCACTGGTAGGGTTTCTCCCCGCTGTGAATGCTTTGATGGGAAGTGAGATTGGAGCTCTTATTGAAGCTCTTCCCACATTCCAAGCACTGATACGGTTTCTCCCCGCTGTGAATTACCTGATGTCGGCGGACGTTTGTGTGTATATTAAAGCACTTCCCACATTCCAAGCACTGATAGGGTTTCTCTCCTGTATGAGTGGTTTGATGGGAAGTGAGACTTCTCTTCCGAATGAATCTCTTCCCACATTCCAAGCAGTGATAAGGTTTTTCTCCTGTATGAAGTCTCTGATGGGAAGTGAGACTTTCCCTCCGACTGAAGCTCTTTCCACATTCCAAGCATTGATAAGGTTTGTTCCCAATGGGATTTCTTTGATGGGAAGTGGAATGGGAGCTCTGGCTGAAGCTCTCTCCATACTCCAAATGTTGATACGGCTTATCCACCGTGTGAATTATGTCATGGTCTCCCTTCTTCTTATTTTCCCATTTATCATCACCTGAAATGAAGAAAAAGATGGATTAGAGTCTCAGGAAGAAATGGGAGTTCCCAATTATGGAGCAATGCTCATTAACACTTGTGATACAGGGAGTTAGATGGAAAGTCTTATTCCAGGGTTCACAGCCTTTGATTGCTGGCATTAACAGAAATACCTATGAGAACCTGAGATTCGAATAGCCTGTCTCTCTCCTGGGATAGATATTGCCCAATCATGGAATCTGCTCCACCTCCAATAGCTGTCCTCTCTTTAGTCAATCAAAAACAGACAGAAGCAAAGAAGAAAAAAGCAGTTCAGACCAGCCTGATCAATGTCTAAAAAGAAACAACAGGAGGAACAATATTAACAGACAAAATAATCAACAGCCCCCCATGCAAGGTGAGTCGTGGGGGTGTTAGCATTGCATCCCAGATGCTGCAAGTGGCCCTGTTGATTTCCATCAAAATCGGGGAGGCTTTGTTGGGATATTCTGTTCCACCTGAAGGACAGACATGTGGAATTGTTGTATGTCACATGTCTGTTTACACTCCAGCACAGCTTGCTGGGAACTTCCGTTTGTGTATAGCTTTTGCTGTCTTGCTTTGGACACGAAGGAGATCAGACGTTTTCCTTTTGTCCTGATGTAGCTGAATAAACTGCTTGTAAATATGCTCACACAACTTCTCCTTCTGCTTCTGTTGCGTAGTGTTTACTCTGCTGAGTAGCGTGCCCCAGCTTCTGAAGTTCGGGTCGCAGATGCTGCGCCAAGGACTGGAGATCGCCTGGCACAATGGCCGGTGGGCTAGAGCCAGCGGGGGGCCCTGCCAATTGCCCCTGTTTCCTTGGTTGCATGTCAACAGGCTTATCACAGAAAGGTATGTGTGGAATTTCCGAAGAGATATTATGATCCACAAGGGAGCCTTACTGAGAGAGGCCACGATCCCGCGATTCTCCTCCATGACTTCCTTATGCAGAGCTCTCTGGTCAGGATCCAGCAACGCCCATTCCTCGTCTGTGAAATGAACAGCGACATTTTCAAAGCACACTGGACCCTAAGAGAGAAAGAGAGAGGACCTCTTCTTAGTCAGAATGAAGATGATCTACTATAAATTGCTCTATTGCTTTCTGCTGTATTGTTTTAATGGGATCGTTTTGCTGCACATTTTAATTGTGGGTGTTTCTTTAAATATCTTAATGGAATTATTTTAGTGTGCATTTTAATGATGGACATTAACCTTAGTGTAAATGGGGGAACTCCACAATGTGTTCCTCAAATCACTCTGTCTGTGCCAGCACTGCCGCTCTCCTTTCCCTGTGTGCTGTTTTGGAGGAACCTGATACCCTGAAGTCAACTTTAAGAGAAACACGGGGGCACAGGAAGGGGGAGGAGATTGGGGCAAAAGCCCCATTCCGTAACTCTTGGGGCTGGTTAGCTGAATCCTGGCCCCTTTGTGGGATGTAATCCACTGGGAGCAGTCAAATACAACATTCCTTGTTTTGCTAGAGTGGACATGCCGGGGATGTTGGTCCAGTCAGTTGAACTTCCTGTTCCTCCTGGCCTGGAGCATCCTTCCTTTGCATGTGACTGGTAGGTGGGCGTGACCTTCCCAGACCTGGGAAAAGGCCAAGGCATACTGCCTCTCTCTCTCTCTCTCTCTCTTTTCCATCTTCCTTTCGTCCTGCAAACTTCCTGGACTGAACTGCTGGCTGCCAGCCAAGCCGTCCCCCAGGTCATCTCCCTTATGGGGTAATCCTCTTTTTATATGCTTGCAACTTTCAGCCTTAAGCCTGCCTTCAGGGATCACACTGTGCTCTGCCTGATCATCAGTAAACTTTCTTTTTATTGCTTATGAAGAAGACTGTGCTGTATTTCTTCAATTAGGAAGGAAAATATCAGAACACATTTCAATCTGGACAAGCCAGATTGAATTGCTTATTGTCTTAAGAAACTCACATGAGTTTGCAACCAGTTTTCTGCTGTGTAAGGAGGGAATGCACTCTGCTTGCTAGCACAAGTTAGGAATCATATTTAAAAAAGGTAAAGGTAAAGGACCCCTCACAGTTAAGTCCCATCATGAATGACTCTGGGGTTGTGGCGCTCATCTTGCTTTACTGGCCGAGGGAGCCGACATTTGTCCACAGACAGTTTTTCCGGGTCATGTGGCCAGCATGACCAAGCTGCTTCTGGCGAACCAGAACAGCGCACGGAAACACCATTTACCTTCCCGCTGGAGCGGTACCTATTTATCTGCTTGCACTTTGACGTGTTTTCAAACTGCTAGGTAGACAGGAACAGGGACCGAGCAACAGGAGCTCACCCCATCACGGGAATTCGAACCGCCGACCTTCCAATTGGCAAGTCCTAGGCTCAGGGTTTAGACCACAGCGCTAGCCGCGTCTCTGCAGGAAGGATATTAATAAACAATATATCCTCTCCTGCCGCCCTGAACATCCCCACACACTTTTATATGGTGTGTAAACTGCTTAGAAGCCTGTGTTTGCGTTTAATAATAAATCTAGAAATAAAACTGCAAACGACTGGTGAATCATATTAGCAACATTCAGAAGGCGAGTTAAGGTGAGATGGCTGTTCCTTATTCCCAGCACATAAGCCTTCTAAAATAGTATTTTCAGCCTTTGTTCAGGGCAGATTTGTTAAGAGAATGAGAGAGACTTGTGTGGGTCAGGAGGGACCCTGGCTGCCCCACCCCTCAGCCCCCTTCCCCACAGGGCTCCCTCCCTCTACCTGAGCTGCTTCCACAGCCGTTGCTTCTCCTTCACCACCAGGAATAGATGGAAGAGGAGGTCTTGCTGGCATCATCTGGTCACCTGTGAGAGACAGAGGTAAGTGGGAAGCCAGGAGTAGATGCTTTTCTCAGAGGTTAAACACTACATATCAAACTACAAATGGGCCTTTGAAAAAGTCTTGCCTGCTGAATGGATTATGACATTTGCACCCATTTCATATTTTAGTTGTGTTAAAAATACATCTCCCTCCTTGGGGCTCCTGGACAATATTCCCCCAAAAGATGAAAAGAACCCATGTGTCTGTTTTGAAATCCACAGAATGGAACCAAACAGAGAAAAATCTTATTCCTCCTTACCCAGTGGCTTCTCTAAGGTGTCCAACAGAGTCCTTTCAGTCTTAAAGGAATCCAGACCCATTTCTGCAAACAGATCCTGTCTCTGAAACAGCAACAAGGATTCAGAACAGAAAATGGAGAGAAAGATTAGCAATGATACCTGAGGGGTATCCAATCTCATTCCTTGGATACTTTCCAAAAAGGGGTGGGCCATTAGTAGAAAATTTAGGGAGACTCTCCCTCATGTTCTGAGCTGCTTAGGAAAGTCTCTCTCACCTGCTTTCTCTCCTCTGCCTGACTCAGGAGGAAACCTTCGGCCAGGGCCACTGCCTGAGAACTAGTCTCTGCTCCACATTCCCTCACCCAGCTCTCCATCTCCGGTGGAAGGACAGCCAGGAACTGCTCCAAGATCACCAGGTCCAGCATCTCAGCTTTCGTGTGCCTTTCTGGTTTCAGCCATTGATGGTAAAGGTTGTAGAGTCGGCTGCAAACCTCTCGAGGTCCTTTGGCCTCCTGGAAGCAGAACTGCCTGAACTGCTGGCTCTGAGCCTCTGAGTGGAGAGTGTCCTCCTCACCCAGGATCTTCTGCACAGTTTTCCCCCAGAATACCCCACTGCTCCCAGTTCTGATAGCATGGTCTCTTCCTGCTTCAGGGCCAGCTGAGTCTTGCTCATCCATCTGTGCTCTCAGGAAGCCTCCAAGAGAGATGAAGGAACCCCTTGATCTTCTGCCAAGTTCTGTCTGTCCGAATTAGAGGTGTTAGCAAATTCTACAAAGCTTGTACATTATTCTGCAATAAAACTGACTGTCAGGAAGAAAAAGAAGTAAACCTCTAGCCCAGGCATATGCCAACTTCGGCCCTCCAGATGTTTTGGGACTACAATTCCCATCATCCCTGACCACTGGTCCTGTTAGCTACGGATCATGGGAGTTGTAGGCCAAAAACATCTGGAGGGCCGAGTTTGCCTATGCCTGGGCTAGCCCTTCTAGAAGGAAAGTGACTATGCATAATGTGCCGGCAACTGCAGGGGTTTCTGTGAGATGAATCAGCCGTAGATATACCTGCAAATTTATTGTGCTAATTTTGTGTTATACACATGACATGAGAAGACTGTCAGTATTTATTTCATATTTGCTGAATTAAAAAGAATTTGGTGGAGGCAAACGTAGAGTGAGCACAGCCTCTGGTAAGAGAGAGAGGTGCAGCAGTTTTAAAACTTACAAAACACTGGATAACATTAACAAATATGGATATTCTAGACATGGAAGGTCATAACAGGCTTAGTTGGCAGGCATATTTATGGTATGAGAAGGCAAAAGTTTCTTGGTCTTTCTCTTTTTGATATGTTAAGAAAGAAATAAAGAGATAAAAGTGTAATGTGACAACTTCAGTAAGTTAAAAGTGATGTTGTGTAATTTTCTATTACTATTTATATATTGTTAAAATTGGTTAATTATAATGAATTAATGTAGCAACTACTGTCGTTCCCCCCCTTTGTTATTGTTGAATTCTAAATAAATTATTATTCAAAAAAAGGGGGGAGAGAAGGCAAAAGTACATAGGTTTTTTTTTATCGTGTTGTAAGAAAACCAATCTATATGGTATGGGAGAAATATAAAAATTTATTACAACAGAAAACAAAACACCCTGGTGGCTTTCCCCACTAGAAGTGATATCCTGGAAAAAATTAAATACAAGAAACGATTGGGCAACATATAAAGAGCTGTTAACAGAAGTAGAACAACAGTTGAAATTGCAAAATTTTGAGGACATAATAAATTTATTAACTGATTGATTACAATATCAACAACTAGATGATATATTTAAGATGGATAAAAAGAATGGATTTAGTAATGAAATATCAAGGTTTGAAAAAGAATTGTTAGCGAATAATTTAAAATTACTTTCTAAAATGTACAAACTAATTTTAGAATGGTATACAAAAGCTGGAGAAGTTAAATCTGTAATGATACAGTGAGCGAAAGATTTTGCATACAATGTAGATTTCATCATGGGAGAAGTTATGGAAAGATGATCTGAAATGTACAGCATGTTGTATGTTGAAAGAACAATATATGATAATGAAGTACCTTTGGTATCTAACTCCCAGTAAGATACCAAAAATGTATCAGACAGCTACAAATATCTGTTGGAAATGTAAGGAAAAAGAAGGCCCTTTTTCTCATGTGTGGTTGACAGGGAAGGTAACAAAAGCATTCCAGGAAATGTTTAAAATAACTTTTATTTAAAAAGCCAGAAGTTTTTATTTTAGGAAATATAGGTGCTAAAATTCCAAGGGAACAGAAAAGATTGTTTATGTATGTGGCGACGGCTGCGCGAAAGAAGACCAAGTCCCTGCCAGAGAATAATGGCAGATCAAGTTGATGGACTATGATGAAATGGCAAAAATGACCAGAAAAATAAGAAATCAAAAACAAGAAATCAGTAAGACCAAAATTTTAATAAGGAATGGGGAAAATTTATAACTTATCTTAAAAAACCATTGTAAACAATGTGATTGCAATAATACTTGTAATGTTACAAGAACTATGGATATAACAGAGATACAAAAATTCTGAATTATTGCAAAAGATACGGTATGAAAAGTTTAACAATAAGGCCCACAAGGGGGAGGAGGGAAGCCCAGGGGATTTCGTGGGAACCCTGTGTTTCTTTATATAACATGTTGTGGTGTGAGTGTAAATTTGTATATCGAAAATTAAATAAATAAATCTGGGGGGAAAGCTACAAAACATGCAAAGAAATGAAGCACCGGGATATGGGCTATGAGACATTTTTCAACATCTCGTTGCTACCAGCGCTTCCCCTTTCTACCCTTCTGGCATAGAAGAGACCACACACTTTGGTAAGTGAAGATGTTTTTTTACTTACAAACTTTCCAAGTTCAGATTCATGCATATCTCCATGCAGCAGCAAGAAAACACAGGCAGAAATCTTGGGTTACAAAATGGAACAGAAGGTTTCTGAACGCGTGGCCTGACCTTAAAGAGGTCAGATACGTCCTGTCTGGTCAAGTTCGCATGGTAAAAGGGGCCAAACAGCAGAAGGCAAGGGAGCAAAGACTTTTCCCGGGTTCGTCAGCAAAGGTCTCCCTGCAACTGGGACTCTGAAGCCTTGCATCGCCCTCTGCTCCTCCGCCAACTGGCCTCGTCCTCTTTCAAAGCCATCTCGGTTCCAGAGGTTTCAGTGCACGTTGCATGATGGAAGGACTTTCCTTTGGGAGCCCTCCATCTGTCAACATCCACTCTTTCTTTCTGGCACAGGGTTTCGTTTGTTATAAGAATTTTAAGGTCTTTGATATATAATAAATGTTCATAAATGTACCAAGCAAACACGTACATAAATATATAAACCACATGTCTGAAGCAGCACAGGAAGACAGTCCTGAAACCATTTTGACTCCCAAGCTGACCAAATGTTTCTCTGCAAGGAGGGAGGAGGTGAAAAAAATACCTTCCTTGTTACAGGAATTTAGTAATCACCATTTCAAAGGAATGGCCAGACTACCAGGAAAGACAATCAGATAAGGCATTATCAGAAAACCTGGCAGGCAGGAAAAATAATAAAATAATAATAATAATTTATTATTTAAACCCCGCCCATCTGGCTGAGTTTCCCCAGCCACTCTGGGCGACTCCTGATCGAGTGTTAAAAACAATACAGCATTAAATATTAAAAACTTCCCTAAACAGGGCTGCCTTCAGGTGTCTTTTAAAGATAGGATAGCTGCTTATTTCCTTCACATCTGAAGGGAGGGTTTTCCACAGGGTGGGAGCCACTACCGAGAAGGCCCTCTGCCTGTTTCCCTGCAGCCTCACTTCTCGCAATGAGGGAACCGCCAGAACAACAACATCCAAATTTCTGTTGTAGACCACCTTTTCTGTGATGTAGGTATGATGTTTGTGGGGGGGGTGGTATTGGGTCACACCCCTTCTGTGATGTATGAATGATATATGGAGGGGTGGTCTGGAGGCACGCCTTTGTTCTGGGTCCTCCTCCTTTCCTGCGTGTGAGGGGAGCACCCTGTTGCAACAGATCAATAAAGATCAGGCTTACTAGCTGCTTTGCTTCACAATATTCTCTGCTTGGCCTCTGTTCTTTTCTCCTATCAATAGGGAACCTACGTAAGGACTCTATACGGGCTCTTGTGTTCTCCATAAGGGAAAAAGGGCAGATTTTGTTTACAACACGTTTCATGTCGGAATGTTTCCGTGCGGCTGCAGCCTCCGTTCATAAACGCGACTGATCCATCAATCTGACGGGGGTTCATTCCCATGCGTTTCCCGCGCCGCCCCCCTTCGACCCAAAGACCCTCCCCAAAGGGGCCAGTTGCGCATCCATGCAAAGGAAGAGCAGAGTTGCCGCCCTCCTGCGACCTCGCCCCTCCCTGGCAGGACCCTCCGCTCCTTGACTTGGGGGTCCCCCCCCTTGCAGGCTCCCCACACGCACGCTTTCCTGCAGCTCTGGGACCCCCAAATGCACCCTCTGGGAGAGAGAGAGAGGAGACTCACCGGATCCCAGCAGGCGCCGCCGGGGCAGCATTGGCAGGGAGAGACAGAAGCGCCCCCTTTTTTTGCAGGAAAAGTCTGGGGAGGCGGGGAGGGGCTTTTGCTCTGGAGGACCTGCCCTCCGCGTCTTTCTTTCCTGCCCTCTCTAGGAATCCAGCTCCTTTCTGTTTAACCCTTGGCAGGCCGACGGCACTCAGGTCTCCCTCTTCTCACCCGGGGGAGCCCCGTGCATGGCGCGCACAGCACCCAGAGATGCTTTATTTGGGGGACCCTCCTGGCCGGGGGCTGAGCTTCCCCCTCCCTGGCCTAGAAGCCGGAGGCAAGTGATCTCCGCTGTTACGGAAATTACGGGGGCGGGGGCACATCTTTAAAGTTGCTAAATGTTACAAATATTATGCCTGAAAATGTATCCTTTCAACTTGACAGCTCAGGAAAGTTACTTAGCTTTTAAAAATAATATAAAATCATTACAAATATTATGTCTGAATGTATCCTTTCAACTTGACAGCTCAGGGAAGTTACCTAGCTTTAAAAAGAATATAAAATCATCTCCTTTCCCAGTTTCCTCCATTCCAAAGCTATTTTCCCCTTGAAAAAGGACTCCAGGAAGTTCCATTGTTAGCCAAAGGAAGCCAAATCTCATCACCTGACTCGCCTCAGGCTCCAGACATGCAAAGGAACTTCTATTGTACTTTTGGGTGGTGGGTACTTGTGAAATAATTGTCTATGCTCATCTTATACTTGTGTGTTTCCCTAACACATCTGTCTATGCTAATAATGTGTAACCCTCCCCTTTTGTGACATGTCAGTGATGTAGCAGTGATGCAGCAATGATGCTGTACGAACTGTATTCTGGGATATGGTGGGAAGGTTTTAAAAGTCCCTGTCACCCCATCCTCGGGGTTCAATCGCCTTTTGAACCTGTTGCGCAATAAACTCGGATCTTCAGCTATTTGCTCCGGTTGGCTGGACTCCTTCCTTTATTCCACAGGGACCCGCAGGGCCAGCCCGATGAGCTGGGGGACTGAGCAGCCTCGCACCTAGATTTTTCTGTAACACCCCCCCTCCCAAAGAAAGGCTCAACATCCACGCCCATGGGGGCCTGTGGCCAGCCCAGACCCTGGAGCATCTGCATCTCTGCCCCAGCTTGAAACGTGGGGAGGGGAAGTTAGGGGCTGCAGTGCTGGCGAACCTTATCTCCCCCTCCCCGTCCAGACAGAGGAGTCCCATCTGGGTGGTGTGGAGTGGGCAGTGCGGGGCCTTCAAACTGTAAAGTAGGGAGGGCCCTCCTGAGTCATCTAGTTGAACCCCCAGCATAGCAGGAATCTCAGCTAAGCATCACAGGCAGGGGGCCATCCAAGCTCCCCCCACCCCACCCAAGGAAGGCACTCTCCCCACTGGCTGGCTGTACTGCCCTCTCAATGGCCCCTCCTGGCACACTTCCCTGTGGCCAACGACTCTTCCCCAGGGAGGGCATCTGAACAAGAGACCACCCCCCTGTAGGGTGCTGTGTTGATGCCCGCCAGGCTAAGGAAAAGCAAAGCAGCTGCGCATTGGCACTGAGGGCTCCCAGACTTCAGCCAGTGCCCTCCAGGTTTTCTGAGTGCAGGCATCGTGCTGGCTGGCACTGAGGGGAACTGCAGGCCCATCTGCCTAGGGGGCACCTGCGTGGAGATGGCGGTGCCAGGGAGAAGAGCAGCAGGTTCAGCCAGAGACTCCTAAAGGCTCTGCCCAGTTTCTTGGCGTGGAAGATGTGACCAGCCAGCAGGGGCTGGGGCTGCAGCAGGGGGCTGGCCCCTCCTGGCCCCTGTTACCCAAGGTAAAGGACCCCTGGTCAAGCCCAGCCAAAGGCGACTATGGGGACTTACGTCTGAGTAAGCGTGCATCAGATGGAATGGCAAATGGAATGGCCTTTGAACCGCGTAGGGGTTAATCCTAAGTGTCGCCGGAAATCTCCCCCTCCCCACACACTAACACGTGTTTGCACAAGCACCACACCCACACATACACGTATCTCCCCTCCTAAGCCAGGGGTGCCCCTTTAGAGGGCCACCCCTTATAAGCCTTCCGTAAATAAGGAAGCGCTGACCTGACAGCTTCCCGCTAAAATGCTCCACTTCGCCCTATCTGTATTGTGAGTAGACCGGCCGACCGAGTTCTGCTGTCAATCGACGGCCGCCTCAGCCAATCAGCATTATCAAACAGCACCCCTTGCGGCGGCCACGCAGGTACTGCAGGCTACTGCCGCTCTCCTCCTTACCTTTGACAGCTCTCAATACAAAGTTTCCGAGTCAAATTGACCGTGACTGATCTAATCAAAATGTAGCAAGCCACTTCCTGAAGGCGAAAGTGCTTTGAACTTCAAAGGCAATATTCTTTATAAATTCACTAAAAATCAGCCGTACTTCAGATTTTCACCGGACCACTTTTATTCTGCTGGATATTACAAAGACTATCAAAGGGGGGTGGTCTGATATCAAGCGGCCATAATCCCTTGACCGAGCAGTCACGTACTCTGTGTTCCTTCCTAGTAGACGTGACCACCTTGATAGCCATCGGTGATGGGCTCAGACAGAAGGCTATCAAGGACACAATGAACTGCATATCTTGGTGTATTCCGCGCGGACTCTCACAAAGGACTGTGACCAGATTCCCCTCAGGGGGCAGGAAACTTCGCCTTTTTCCTTTGTTCTCCTGTATGACTCATGCGGGGAGGGGGAAGAGGCTCCGGCCAAGTGTCAGGACACTCGGGTTACCTGTGCAGCCCCTCCCCGGCTCCTCCTATTTTTAATATAATCATGATGTAAATATGATGTAATTCTGAGGGTGTAGCTTAGGGGATTAGTAACTAATAAAAGTTGGGGTCTCCCTTTGTTCGGGGCTTCCATCTTGCTTCACATTGTGGGCAGTGGGAGTCCTGTCGCGACAGTCTTTTCTTTAATAAAGACCGAGCCTACTGGCTGCTGTTTTGCTCTGATTGCTCTAGTCGGTGTCTTCATTTGCCCAAGAAGAACCCTCGGATTTTCCGGTAACAGTTTTTGGCGACCAGACTCAGGGACACTTGGTTCTCCTGCAAAGGTGAGAGGGGAGATAGAGGGGATCGGGCGCCACCGGGCAACCTTAGCCTGGGGATCCTTTTTCCTCTCCCTGCCTCCTCTTTGCGGGCGGTAATCAACCGTCACCAGAAGCCCGACCAGAGAGAGCAAAGGCGAGGTACAGCCGGCTAAAGGAAAGGATCCCGGGATCCGCGAGGGACACCTTCGAACGTGAGTATGGTTTGAAGTAAAACACACTGGGAGGGGGGTGGAGAGTTAAATGTCCCCACGACAGCCAGACTTTCCTTCTTCGTTTCCGACGTTTCTCTTTCTCTCCCCACAAATTCTTACGCGGTGTTGGGCCGGGGAAATTGTGGTACCTTTTGCTGTTTTCCGGCGTTACCTTTCGGAGTCGTCCAGGAGCGTCTTGATCTCTCTATCCCTTTTCTCCCCCGTTTTCCGTCTTGGAATTGAGTCCGGGAAAGCGTGGCTCTTTTACTGTTTTCTCTGACGTCCCTCTTTCGGAGTCGTCCAGAGGCGTCCTTCAAAGTATTTTCACTCTCACTCTCTTCTGATTATGCAAACGAAGCCGCCCCTCCTGCCCGGCGACCTTTGTTAGGGATGACCCGGGTATGTGAGAACGCAAGGTCGTTTGTTTCCTTTCTAAACTTTCATTTTCTCGGACCTTGATCTGGCATTGCATTGCGCAAGCGTCCAGTAGGGAGTTCCGAACTTAGTCTCAAAGGCTAGGCAGGAGGCTGTCGTGGAGGGTAGAAGGGGCGGTTCACGAAGTGGGGCCCCACACTAGGACCAGTTGCGTGAGTAATACTGCAGTAGAATACCAGGATCCGTGGTTGTGTATCGGGTGAAAAGAGAGACCCGTAGGTTTGAGGCAGATGTTTGGGGATAAACTGAACATAGTTCAGTGGTAGGCAAAGCTACGTTAAAGAAAAAGGGAAAATAGAGATAAGACAGAGGTACCTTAAAATTACTGAAAGAATACTATTTTTTTCTCTATCCCCCTCTTTTTGTATCGTATTCCTTGTCTCTTTCTCTTTGTCCGCCCCATCTTTACACTCTAGTGCCCATCGCTTGCGAACCACCCCTTAAATTCACAGAGTAATGGGAGCCCACGCTTCCCGACACTCTGATTGGACTCCTCCTGGCGACAAAGCTTCCATGAAGCTTTCCCGCCCCGGAGAGGACTCCGATACCCCTCTGCAGTTCGTTCTTCATAGCTGGAAGGAATTGAGAGGGAGGAAGGGACTCTCCAAGTCTAAGCTGAGAGACCTCTGCAATACCTCGTGGGTCGCCTTTACTCACCATCTAGACCCAGCCCAGAGATGGCCACCTCACGGCTCTTTTAACGTCACAAGGATGCAAGCACTTAAGTCTTATCTAGCCGATGAGAAGCCCCGCCAACTTTACTATCTGAATGCCTTTGCCGAAGCCCGTGAATTATTCCAACAACAACAAGCTAGAATAGTCCGACAGATGGCTGTCTTAAAACCAACTAGACCCCCTCCATATGACGAGATCAGGGCTCAAGAGGAACAACTGGATAGGACCCTCGTCCCTTTCTACTACCCAGAACCACGAGCCCCCCCTTCACCGGGACCTGGGGCAGGGGCCGGAGGGGGGGGCGCGGGACCCAGGGAAGACACCGCGAATGCCACCCCGGCCCCTTCTTCGAATGCATCGAATACACAACCGATAGTTACCCAGCCGACTAAGCCCCCTCCAAGTATGCCCAACTTAACCGAAGACCAGGCAAATCTAGACGTGGGACCTTTACTTAATGGACAACTTCTAAATGGGGAAAAAGAGGGACCTGTCGCCAGTAGAACCCGAAACAAAGATAATCTGCCAAATGGAGAAGTAGAGGGCGCTTTCCCCCTGCGAGCGTTACCCATACCTCCGGAAAGGGCAGGAGGTCCACCCCGCATGGTCTTCACACACCAACCTTTTCTTACATCGGATTTAATGAATTGGTCCGACAAAATGCCGTCCTTGCGGGATGACCCCGACAAATGCCACCGCCAGGTGGCCACCATTTTCTCAACCCACAACCCCACGTGGGCAGATGTACAGATGCTCC